CAGTCCAACCTGCCCCCCCCCCCCGCACCTCCCAGACAAACCGCTTTCATGGCTCCATCCCACAGTCTGCCCCAGCTGTGCAGTGCCTGCCACTGCCCCTCTCTCACCACAGGGGCCTCAATTTGCCCCCCACCCCACCTTAAAACCAAAAAATATATATAAAGGGGCACATGAGCTGAAGCTTTGAGGCAGAAGGAGTACACTTGTTAAAAAAGGTTGAAAACCCTTGGTTTACAGTAACCAGAAAATTAGCACAATGACGGTATGGCAGGGAACAAAAGAAACTGAACAATGGAGAGAGAGGCAAAGGCATTTTTAGTCTGACTGTTTAAAACTAATTCCATTACGGTCTATTAACTACAAGGGTTAATGAGACACCAGTAGAAAGGACATCTTTGTTAAAGATTCAACAGCCCACCCATTCATTTAAGGTATGAGAAGATTCCCAACAGGCATCAAAGCCTACCAACAAGTCTCCCAAAAAAGCCAAAAATCCTCCCCCTAGTCCCATTTATTTTTTCCAAGCCCTGAAAGGTTAAACATCAGAAAGAACCAAAAAAAGGGCAGAGCCTCATTTAAAACAAATTCCTTGCAAGACACCTTTATTCCATTCACTTGTACAAAGCATTTTGAGATCAGCTGAAAGGTGGTACTGAAATGCTAACATTGTCATTACACCACTCAATATTAAAACAGTCCAGGCAGGTCCAGGAGGCACAAAACACAGCTAGTTTATTTCTCTTAGGAATTACACAAAACATGACACAGAAGAGAGGAAATCATAGAGCTAAGAAAGCTATAGGAGGAGCTGCTTATTTGGTGTAGTAGTATGTGTGCACAGATCCATCCATCACACCCAGCCTCCCTTCTGCCATGCACAGAAGAGAAGCCTTTGACCCCAGACATGTATAGCAGCAGAGAAATCACTGGGTACATGCTGGCCCTCTTCCAAAATTCCACAGTGGGGCACCAGAAGGGAGGTTTCCTTAACTCTCCACTCCCATGATACAGCCAGTGCTATTCTCCTGTATGCAGGCCCAGCTCCCACATGCTTACCTGGCTTGAAGTTGCAAGGCAAAAGAGCTATCATGGCCACTCAGCCCTGCTTAGGGAAAGGACACTAATGAGGAGAACTGATGCCAGCTTCAGATGGGGGAAAGGAGAGAAGTGCCCACAAACCTATGGGGAAACAAACTGGGGGAGATCCCTATAGCTACAAGGAAGCTGCAGTCCTCAGTGACACAACATGCAGCAAGTGCTTGATACCAGGCTTTGGTATTGCACCCAAAAACTAGCCTCTCTTGAATATGCAACTGAGGACCCTCTAACCAGTCACCTGCTGCTATACAGCTGCTGCCAGACCATGGAAGTGGTATCTTCATACAGAGTAATTAAATTCTCCCAGCAGTGATGAAGCAAACGTTACCCAGTCACACCTTGGCAGTCTTCAGGCGGGGCCTTCCCAGGAAAATCCCAGTGCCCTACTTTTACTGGTTGTGTTCGAGTCAGATTCCAAGAGCAGCATCTAAACTCTGCTTCTCCAATACCCTCCCTGTCTTTTCAGTTGGATATTGTGTTCTTACTTCCTGTCCTGAACATTGTTCATAGATTCATAGATGTTAGGGGCTGCAAGGGACCTCACGAGATCATCAAGTCCAGCCCTCCTGCTCTTGGGCAGGAAAGACTTAAACTCAAGTCTCATCCCACCCAGAGGTGGCAGCATTTCACCAACGGGGTAACACCACTAACAAAATGTAAATTCTCCTGTAGCGGGAAGAATGCCAGATCCTGATATCACTGCAGAGAAATCCCAGCTATGTTCTCTCTGGCCAAGAACCAAGATGAATTTTGGAAGCTGCCCCCAGGAGACAGATGCATGCACTGCATGTCCCAGTACATCTTTATTTTATTTATTTATGTATTTAATATTAAATAAATAATAGAAGAAATTTTAAAAAGCAGTAGTAACTGCTGCATTTCACCTGCCATTCAGGTTCAATCCAATGGCTAAATGAACCCAGCCAACACCTCAGGTCTGATAAGAGCAGCCTGACTTGAACTCTGCAATGACTCTTGGAAAATATTTGGGCAGAGAAAAAAAAAATGATTTGCAACTTTAAGGAAAGACAGAATCAGTTCAGGAAAAGCTCTTTCCACTATTACTGACTGAAATGGCTTCAGCCCAGCTCTCCCTTGCTTGTCCCTCTATTCCACCTCCCAGAAAGATGGAAGGACTCATTGCTGTGCAATTCGTAGCATACCTATATCACAGTGTAACCGAGCACAGGGTGTGCTCTGTTACTCAAAGGGACATGAGCAAACAGCCAAGCAGCTTGCAGGTGGCTCCACTCCCAATCAGGTGCAATTACCTGATTGGGAACAGGGCCCACGTGTTCTCTATAAGAACAGGCCCTGAGCAGTGTGGCCAGCCGTCTACTGCTAGCAGCTGGGAAAACACCACCCAGCTGTAGCTACTGCTCATGACATCTTAGAGGTACAGGGAAGGAGCTATGGGGAAGGTGGAAGTTCCTAGTGCTGGGGCATGACCTAAAACTACACCCTGCTGGGGTAGGATGGCATGATGGGACTGCCAGTGGCAGGACAGTCTCCAGGAAGTACCACACCAGTTGCCTCCCTAGTGAACAGTGAGTATGGGGTGCCAAGAAAAAGCCTCAGCCCCTGCTGCCTCGTGGGTGACCCTGTCAAGGGAAAAGGCAAGCTTCCAGGCTCACTGCAAGACCTGAGTGGCATTAAGGAGCCAGGTGTGAGGCTCCAGGGTGCTGGGTCCCTGAGCCTACAGGAAGCCAGATGTGAAGTTCCTGGGGCAAAGGGATGAGGGATTGTGAGCCCAGTGTCAGGCAGGGGATTGAGGCCCCAATGTAGGGGTGTGAGGGGACCAGGAGGGTCCCAAGCCAGGCTAGGGGCCCAAGGAAAAGGGAGGGCCTGGGAGCCCCGAGTAAACAGGATTGCGAGTTAGGCCATGTATGCTAAGCCCCATTGATTGAGTGGCCACGTGTTAGGCCAGACAAGCTATAGACCAGGTGCTAAGCCATGAATGCCATGTGAGGCATGGGACATGGTACAGGGGAGGTCAGAGCTGTATACATAGACCCTTGGCATCAGGGCAAGTAAATGTGCAGCCTCCCACCTTGTCACCATATTCTAACTAGTATCATCAAAGGCATGGCAGATGAGGTAGGCAGGTGGTTTGCCCTGAAGTAAGTAGGCAGACCTATGCTCAGACCAGCCCCAGGATGCCCACTTGTTACACATAGGTTTAAAGGGCCATTGCAATTCATGCAGACACGCTCAGATCAGCTTTACTGTAGCTGACCCAGGTAACAAGAGCAGTGAAAACATGGTCATATGGGCTAGTGATGACAGTACATTCCCAGGGCCCCAGTGGGCTTATACTTTGTCCACAATGAAGCCCATGCCACTGTGTCTTCACTGCTGCATTACCCAAACTACCTAGATACTACCCTGATACACCTGCCCATGCTGCTCTTATACCTTCACTTTGCTGTTGATATGCCTTCAAGGGACTGCATTGGTCACCATCAGAGGCAGAGATGTGGGTAATGGTGAAGCAAGATGGAGAGAACTACTGAGAAGGCCCCAGAACGTTCACAGCTGGAAGAAGAGGTGCTCTGTCCACAGAACTGTTGATGGGCTGGGAGCAGATCCTAACAGATTGCTGGATCTATTCCGCTTCCCCATGTGCCTCCCAGCCACGGCTCATGGCTTTCACCACAGCATCGTAGAGCCTGGTCCAAGCCTCTCGCATGTCTGGACTGAAGGCAGTGCCAAGGCATTTCTCCAGCATGTACAGCAACGAGTCTCCCACAGCCTGCAAACCAAACAGGAAGGCACCAGCATCAGAGCTCCCAGGCAGGGGTCTCAGGACAAACTCAGTCTTCTCTCCTGAGGAATTTCATTCTTCATCTCCCTTAGGGGTCTCTCCAGTTGCACAAGGGACCTGATAGCTGTCTCAGGTCCCTTCCTGATCTGGGACCTGCCCCAGGACTCACTGCGAGCCTGGGCTCACAACTTTGTTCTTTGGGGTGTGCTCCCCAGGAAGACCACACAGATTCTTCAAGCCCCCCACCTTAACAGGTACCCTGCCTCACTGCTGCTCCCTGCTCTTAAAAAGCAAAGCCCTGTCCACTTCTCTTGTCCTTGTACAACTGCTCAAGCTATCCCTAGGCTGCCCCGCCTCCATCTTTGTGAGCTGATAGTCCCAATTAGCTGTTCTGGCTGTGTGTAGGTCTTGCCCAGGTCCTGTCTGCTCTTGGTTGGTCTATCTTAGAGGCCTTTCCTTCAAGCTTCTGAAGGATGATGAAGGGAGCACAGCCTAGTTATGAATGTGGACAGGAACGTATTAGGGAGTGGAGATGACTAGGAAATACACAGAATCCTTAGCCCTCAACTGCCATGCACCTGTCCTCACTGTTGTCATAACACAAGACAGGCCAAACTGAGACATATTCTGATGTTATGTACTATTCGGTTTAGAAGCATCAGAGTCCACCCCACCAACCCTGAGAAATCTCCATTACATGGCACTCCATCCCCCATCCAAACCCCCACTTCTGGCACAGCAGCCCAGCTGAATCCTGGCAAATAGCTGATCTAATATGGCACCAACTCACGCTGGTTCCCCACAGAACTTTCCTCATTTGAGCTGCTAGAAAGAAGCCCCAGAGAGTAAAACAGTCTACCTAAGGAATGATACTAGCTCAGCTTGGAAAACTAGAAGCAGAGGGAGACACTCAGCCAGATAACTAAAGCTGTGGGCTGTGTTCCTTTAACCTTCTGGATGTTCCCCATAATCTCATTTCATGGTGCAGTGTTTCTGATCCTACTCATTGTTAGGATGGGGCTATATTTCGGTCTAAGATGAGGAATGCACCTTGGATACAGCAGTGAGGCTAGAACAGGGATGATTTGTCTGGGAATACTTTGGTGTTAAGGGACAGTACCCCTATGCCAGGCTGAGACCTTACTATGTTCTCTTTTCAAATACCACCTGGAGACTCTGCCCATGGACTTCAGGGTGTTGAGGGAAGCAAGGAACATAACTCAAGTTAGTCCAAGTCCATCCAAACAGCAGCCCAATTAGAGGATTGTGACATTCCCCCAGAGACCGCCAGCGGTTCACCTGGTAGGTTACTTTAGATTCCAGGATTAGCTTAGGTAGCTAGTTTTCTTGCCTAGCCACTGAGTGAGCCCAGCAACATTAAAGTACCAAGGTCCTAGAATGCAGGCATGTGGGTGCTGTGAAGGCCCATATACCTCCACTCCTGGTAGATCAGGGTAGCACCATGAGTGAATGGGGAAGAATGCTGTGGCAGGAGTAGCATGAAGAGAGAATATGCCTCACCGAGAAAGAATCCATCTTCACGCCAACTGCCTGGTGCTTCTTACCCAGGTTGCAGAGATATTCTTCCAGACACAGTAAGTTCTCCAACTGAGTCACAGCTGCATCTATCACCAGCATGACCTGAAGAGACAAAGTCAGACTGAGTGAGGTTAGGAGAGAACACTCCTTTTGCTATACCACAAGGAGGAGGAATACTTATCCAAATACTGTTCCCCTTACTAGTTTGCCCACAGGTCTTCCCTCAGCTCACTATACAGTGAAGACCATTTCACATCTGCCTTGTGCCACTATTATGCTACACTGGCAGAACATCACTGGAAACTATTCTGCCAAAAAACCCCCCAGTGTTTTCCATAGCTATATCACTACTTCCTCCTCCTTCCTGCAAAGGTGAATCAGGGCAGGTACCCTTGCATCTTATGATGATGTGGTCCTACCACATTTCAAGTGACATAGAACTGACTTCATTAGTGGCCAGCTGAGATGCTCACCACCCAACCCCATTTCCAAAGACCTTTCTCTATAGGTGCTATAGCAAGTGGCAATGGTGACCAATAGGGGGAAACTTTTCTCTCTAAAAGAATGTTAAATAACATTCTAATGCTTGTAATATGACTTATTAAATGCGACCTGAAAATTGAGATCATGACCATCTGGGACCATTACAGCTCTCTTGGCAAGTACTCAGTATCATCAAATTGCCACTTGGATCATTCCATTCTAACTCCCTTTACATAGGAAGAAAAACCTATGGTAGATCTCATGTGTGGATTTCAGTAAAGCACCTGATACTTTACCATGTGGCACTATATCAGTCAAGCTAGAGAAGATGGGATTTAGTAGAGGAATTGTAAAGTCGGTAAGGAGCTGGCTTAAGAAAGCCAGCAACAGACCATGTTGAAAGGGAGATTATTGGACAAGGAAGACTCCCAGTTATCTTTCTGCTTGGTGCAGGGGGCTTGACCCAATAATCTTTTGAGGTCCCTTCCAGCCTTACAATCTATAAATCTATGAAGTTGCTAATGGAGTTCCTCAGGGATCTGCCTTGAAACCAATTTTGCTTAATATTTCTAATGACATTGGCCAAAAAAGTAGGACCTGATGACATCTACCAAGATACAAAGTAAGGAAGCATTGTCAATACAGAGGAAGATTAGGGTAGCCTGCAGGAAGAACTGGATGACCATGAGGACAGGATTAAAAAATCCAGTATGACATTCTATAATACAAAATGCAAGATCATGCATTTGGAAATTAATAACATAAAATCTTGCTATAACCTGGTAGGCCATCAGTTGGAAATAACTGAAGAGGAAAATAATCCTGGTGTACTGGCTGGTGGCAGGATGACTCTGAGCTATCAATGTGACGCAGCCTTGAGAAAGGAAGACATAATTATAGGATGGACCAAGTGAGATATTTCCAGTGGAGACAAGAAAACATTAAAGCAATTGTATAAGGCTCTGACAGGGATGCATTTGGAAAGCTGTGCAGAGTTCTAGTTATCCATGCTCAAGAAAGATGAATTCAAATGGAAACAGGTTCAAAGAAAGTCTGCTAGGCTGATCAGAGGATAGGAGAGCCTAATTCACTAGAGGAGACTAGAAAAAGCTCAGCTTGTTTAATGTAACAAAATGAAAGCAGAAAGAAGGGATGATTACTCTCTATTGATACTTCAAGCAGGTTAGCACCTAGGAGCTCACGGATAATGTTGGCACAAGAACAAATTGTATATACACTTCATGGCTTCTAATTTAGACTGGAGACTAGAAGAAGGTTTCTAGCCATCAGGGAAATAAGGGGCTAGAACAGCTTTCCAATTAGAATAGCCGGGTCAAGAAGTCTAACTGGATTTGGGGGGAGTTTGGTTAGTTTATGGAAGGGTTCCATGGTATGTCTGTTCTTGGTACTCCCATGCAGTTTTTACAGGATGTAGATTTTTACTTCCTGTCCTAAGCCATTGTGCAGGTTTGTAATGTCACTTCTCTGCTCCCCTGCTTAGATGGCTGTTTTAGTACTAAACAGAGGGATTTTGCTGCACTGCACAAAATTTATCCAGGGCATCAGGATCCTTCAGGATGATATTGTTTTCCTTTGCTACCCCTCCGAAGTTGAGCAGGAGGAATGTGCTGTCCCTCACTATAGGTCACGATAGCTAGTCTATACATGAACAGCTGTGTGTTCTCCCCTGCTCCAGTAGAAGAGCATGGGGAATAGCAGGATTGTTGCTTACTGCCTACCTCTCTATCTGAGTTTTATAGCAAGCTATCACTGACATCCAGGTGCTTGAGCTATCCTGATTCTGTGTGTAGCCAAGCAGAGGGTTTCAGTGTCCAGTGTGGCCATGTCTGCAATACCCAAGTAGCACTGAAATCGAATAAGAAAACAGTCCTGATTTTCCCAAAGGCCAACCTACCTCAGTTAGAGCATATCAGTTATTGTGCATTTGCACAGCACGATCACTTCTCATTTGTGTATCCAAAGCAGTTTGACCCTGATGTAGCTTCACTAACCCTCTGGATTGGTATTTCCAAGGGCGAATTGTCTCTATGTTATGAAACACTAGGCATTAGAGGGACAAGCTCCCTTTGGCAGCATTTACAATGTCTGTCTCTTCCTTTCATGGAACTTCCTCTATGCTGCATCCCCAGGATTTTTCATCCCTTACCTTCCTTATATGATCCAGGAACTCAGGGGAAGAGAGGCATTCTTGCGGGCTGGAGAACTGTCTACAGTTGTACTGGAAGAGGGGCAGGAGGTCAGGATCCAGATCAAACAACCTTCAAGAGAAAGAAGGAAACTTCAAATATTTCACACTTCTCAAATGACAATCATTCCTTAACATTGCCCCCATCTGCCATTCCCCACCCCTCATTCCATCCAGCGGTGACGTTACAAACACAGAGTTCTGAGAGGGAGATTTGCCATGGTCTGGGGGTCATCTGTCTAAAACTGTTTCTGCTACTTTAGCCCAAGTCACCAGTCCTCACCGCTACAACACTATTCCAGGAGAGAGGTCCGTCCACTATCAACTCCAGGGCACTGCTGGAATCCTTTGCTTGACTCCATCTTCCCTGAAATCCTAGTTCCTGTCCTAACACTTCCATCTCAACTCTTGCTGTTCCCTGTTTTTTATGATACTCCCTAATCTCAATTTTCTCAAATTCAGAGGAGGCCAACATAGTACAGCCAAATGAGATTCCTGCTTTCACAAGCAGGGTCATAAAACTGGAATCCCTCACATTTTTGTTGGCTCCCAATCCAAACCCCTTCTGCCAACTTTTTCACCATAGGACATTGCTTCCCAAAGTTTGGGGCCAATGGACCACTGATCCCCAATGGTTTTTGTAGACCATCATGTGCCCTTATCAAACATTTAATTATAATGGGAAGGGAGTGATCCATAGATCACTGTCCGTGCCTCCTGAACAACCAGTGATCTATGGATCAGTTTGGGGTCCTTTGGAACATGGCATCTCACCTGTTTAACTTGCACACTGGTCCAGCAAGCAAGAAATCAGGAGGATCTGATAGACTGATGCCATCCATGGCAGTCTATGGCAATTCATAAAACCACACAGAGGGCACATCTACACGAGATACTTTATAGCACAGCAGGCTAATTTGCTGTGCAGTAAAGCATCACCATCTACACATGCACAGCAATTAGGGCACAATAGACTAATTTACTGTGCTGCTGGACAGTCCCATCAGATACAAGTGGTATCTGGCAGTGCAATAAATTACTGCACTTAAATGTATGTGTAGATGCTGACATCAGGATTAGTTCACTCTGGCTCAAATTGAGCTGAAGTATTTTTAGTTGCATTAATTGCACTTGTAGATGCACCTAGAGTGATCAGTTTGCAATGGTTCTAGTCTCCTAGGCATCAACATCAGAGACACTTAACATGAGATTGCAACATCCCTCATCCCTTCACCAAAATTTTTAAATGTCTCCTTAAATAGTTCCTTCCCTTCAGCTCTATCGAGCATGGCTTGTTTTCCAGATATTTGCTTTTGCAAACTGCCTTTTGGCTTCAGCTGTGGAAAAGCCAAGAGCTTCTCTCAAACTTTTAGAGCTATAGCTTTTCAAGGACTTTTCAAGCATTTCCCTTCATCCCTCCACTTTTCTGCCACTTAATCAAAGAGTTAATTCAGTGGAAGAGGCAGCACATTTTCAGTTGCACTCCCCCATGCACTATTTCGCCCTCTTTGAGACTGATCCTGTGACAATTAGGAAGCTACTTGGATACACTCCACTGAGCTGAGTGGATGCACATGGATCAAAGTGGGTTTTAAACAACAGAATTTCCTCTCTGTCAAGAACAAGGGAAATCATTGCAAAGAAATGCACAAAAGCACACACTCCACATACCTTCCCCTCCCCTCCCCTCCCTTTTAACAAAGTTCTAGATTTAAATGCTATGGAGCTTCTTTGGAAATCTGTTCTCTCTGCTCTACAAATCACAGCAAATGGACAGAAGGAGCAGGCAGCCGGAGATTATAAGTGATGGAGCCATGAAAAAGAAATCATTTCAGAAGGGAGGGGAAGTGTTTCTTTTCAGAGAATGCAAACCTTCCTTTGCCTTACCCAGGGATGGTCGGAGTGGGGGGAGGGGGTAGAAGAAGAGCTGATACATACCACAGCAAGCATTGGCACCAGGTTTTTCCTCCTTCTGTCCAAGTTGCCCTGCTACAGAAACTGCCTGTTGCTATAATAGCCCATCACTCACCTGGTAAACAAGATGATGCCATGCTGCAGGGGGTCGCCACTCACTTTCTGCCAGCTTTCTCGTATCAGTGCCTGTTCAGTGCTGGATAATCTTTCACTCTCCATCTTACTTGAAGAAAAGGAGGGGAAAAAAGCATAGACAGGGAAAGCTTCTGTTTCCTCTGAAAGTAGTTGCACTTGCTCACTGAGTTACAGGTGTCAGGTCCTGAATTAGTCCAAGCATCTAGGGCCACCAGTGCCTCTGGACCTGGGATTCACACACACACCCCCCCCACTTGCTCCTCTAAGTGCCAAGGATGCTCTTCCTTGCACAGTAGTCAAGACTTTGTGATCACATCTCTGGGATTCCCAGACAGTGAAAGAACCCTTTTTTCCCCCTTGATCCTCCCACCTCCTCCCTGGGAGCAGTGCAGGTGGGCTTAGAAAGAGCCCCTGTCTGAGCAATCAGATGAAACCCAAATGCCTTGTGGGAGATCCATGTTGCTTCTTGGTGTCTATAAGAATGATGGGCTGGTCACTGTTGCTTTCTAATCCCCTCTGCTGTTTGGCTACAGCAAGTTTATCAGGGTCTCTGTGCCCTCTTCCCACTGGGCACTAACTGTGCTCCTGATTTGTTCCCTGTCTCACTCCCTGTCACATACAGGCTCAAAGATCTGGAGCTGAAGCTCCTTTCCCTTTATTAGCAGCACTTTCCCAGCTGGCTGTCTCACAGAGCAGCTTCCAGTAGCAACACTTTCACAGATGCTCTTAAAGCAACAGTGTCCCCCCTTTCTCCCCGTTTCTTCCAGTGAGCTTTTTAAAGCTGGGTAACAAACAATACTTTTGCACTTTGCTACATTCTCCCATAAGTAAGGAGCCACCACACACCTTCAGTGTCAAATGGCTTAACCCAATTTTGGCTGAAATTTTCCAGTCAGTTCAATTTTACAAATGAAGGAACAGACACAGAAGAAAAACAACTTACCTAAGATCAGGCAATAAATCAGTGGCAGGACCAAGCTAGAAACCCCACTCTCTCAGCTCTCAGTCCTGATTTCTACCTGTTCGAGTGCAGCTTGCCCTCATATGATATTTTCAACAGTGTCCTCTTGGTCCCAGTCACCCTCACTGACACTCCCAACCCTTTACATCTCTGGGTGCAGGTGCAATCTAGGGTTTGGACTGTACAAAGGGAACATCATCACATGTTTAATTTAATAGAAGCAAAGCCAATTGTACAAGGCAAAGCATTTAATAATGGATCACAAGGCTTTTGGACTACATCAAACAAATTCAAAGTGCTCAGGTTCTTTCTACTACTCAGATGAAGTGAAAACTCTCCTTTTCAAATGGCCCAATGATTCAGACAGCATCAAGGCAAGCTGGGGGAAGGGAGGACAGAGAGAAACAGAGTGTGTTTTGGGTTAAGAGCTCAGAAGGAAGAAGAATGGAAAAATATGGACAGGTAACAGAATAATCATTTAAGGAAGGATTTTCAAAAGCAACCTAAGTGACTTCTGAGAACAAGTCCTATTGACATCATTGCAATCTTCTTTAAGATAATAGGCATATGGTCCGTTTAAGCCTATAATATCAGCTATATGAGGTTCAGCTGTTCCTGTTAGATAAGAAGGTATTCTGAGGCTACAATGCCTGTACAATACATTTATCATAGGCTATATGTGGTCATAGTCAATGTTGGTGCATCATTTTAAGAGGAAAGTCTGTTCTTGTCCTCTCCTAGCCTAACATTGGCTTCAGTGGAGTTGGAACTTGGCCTTTAAAGGCTCTTGGAGCCAGCATTACCTTTATGGTTTGCTGTACACCATCACTGCATTAAAACCCACAGCACTATCAGGGACAGAGCTCGGCAACTGCTGCTCCAGATGCACAGGCCCCTGCAATCTCAGCCTAAAGAGAATGCCCCTCTGGTGTTAGCCAAGAAGGATCTGGGTCACTCAGTTGAGCGGTTTCAGGACTGTCCAATAGAAGAGACTGAGCTCACACACTAGCTCAGCTCAGTATTCATGAACTCTGATCTTACTGACCACTGGGAATTATAAAGGGAAGTGAAGCAGCTCAGGTTGAAAGAATAGGATATTCCAGAAATCAGCTACACTCCAGGCTCCTTCAGTCCCTATTAATCTCTTTTTAGCAGCTAAGGGTCATATTCTTTCTGGAATCACCAAGACAAGAAACACAGGATGCTGCCTAGTGTTGGCAACGTAAAGGTTAACATTTAACTCTTCTGAGTCTCACCAAAATACACTAGAAAGCAGCAGGAGTATTGTATGAGAATCTGCATGAAGTATTCTGCATAGCATTTACTTTGATGCTATGAGCGTGTGGAGACTGTATTGTTAGCAGAACTTGGGGAAACATTGCCAATTTTCTTCTACCTGAATTTGCCTCTGCTCTAATGAGAAAGGAGAACCTGGTTGTAAACTAGAGGCACTTTGGCTGCACCTACCAGAGGAGAGTAACGCACTTCAGTGGTAGAGAGGGAGGAAGGAAATTTATAGGATTTTAACAGGAGGCAGATAACACACCAGACTAGATATTTTTCTAGCCACATTTCGGGTGGACTGAAAACTAGGTGTTAAGACTAGGTGTTAAGAGGAAGCAGAAAAAAGGAGTTTATAATAGCCAAGGTGAGAGACAATCAGTACCTTTTTGAATAGACAGGGAAGAAGGAAGCTGGAATGCTGCAAGGGAAAAATAGGTGAAATGTGGGGAGATTTGATAGGTTTTGCTGGAGTCTGTTAGTATCAGGGATGCCACCATTGGCACATGAGCAAGCACCATGTCAGGGAGGCTCCTTACTAACAATCTGGCCAATTTTTTCCCAGACAGATGATCATATGCAGATTCATCAGTTGCAAACTAAGCAATGATGCAAAGGTCACGGAAAGAGAAGCAATACAACTTGCCATAGACTCCCCGTGCAACTGCCCAATGCAGCATAAAAGGAGAGTGCCTGGAGTCACACAGAGCACTTAGAGCATTTTCTCTATGCAGACAAAAGCCAAAATAAACAACTAATGGCTACATATAAACCACTGAGCATATTCAGCCTCTTCTCTCACATGCCTACATTGGACCACTCATTTGAGATGAAGGGCAGTGCTCAGGACACATTCTAGTGGGAGATCCACCAGACCAGCTGGGACTAGCTGCCCCCTACTTACTTGGTGGCAGGCTCAGGAGAGAGGCCAAGGTTCAGCATAATTTAACCTTCCCCTTAGTGATGGCCCCTCCAAGGTTGTGTCCCTGCCACTACCCAAGTTATATCTGTGCTATAGGAGTAACAAAGAATGTCAGACTTTAGCACTGCCATATTGGCATCTTCCAGCAGTACCATTTACTTCCTGTTTTAATTAAAAAGCAAATTCTCTCTCCACAAGAGAAACCAAATTCCAGCTTAAAAAATGAACCTGCAAAAAGGCTGAAGTTGGAGGGAGCTCAAGGAGAAACATTTGAAACCTGGAAATAATGCATATTCCTCCAATTGGCGGGAGTGAGGGCTCAAGAGGAGTTTGAAATGGCATGGCTCTCACCTGCAGATAAAGCAGCCTCTCCCGCACAGCTATTCCATTGTCAGAGGAGCTCCTTCTGCTGCCACAGTGCTGAGGTGCTGACAGCATGCTGAGGGGCTGAGGAAGGTTTTAATAAAAAACTACATTGTACTTTTCATTCAGATTCTCAGTGAGCCTTCCAGCACAGAGAACAATGAACCTAGGTAGATATTATGAAAAACTCTCCCTAGGAGGGTAGTAAAGCCCTGGAACAGGTTATCTGGAGAGGCTGGGAAATCTCCATCCTTGGGGGTTTTTAAGACCTGGCTAGACAAGGCTTTGGCTGGGATGATATAGTTGAGAATGCTTTTGCTTGGACTAGACGACCTCCTGAGGTCCCTTCCAACCCTCGTTTTCTATGAAAACACCAAAGGAGCCATCATGCTGGCCAACAACACTATGTAGGTACAGCCATCTTGCCCCTGTGATCTCATCTCCCCCCAGCCCCCATAGCTCCATTTTCTCAGAGCTCAGCCTGGCTGTATTATCTACTTGGGTGCTGCACTACATCAGATGGGCCTGTTTAGGGGCAAAGAGATGCCCAGCTGAGACTAGCTCCTACCACATTTCAGCAGTGCGCAGAGGTAGGAAAGGGATTTTCCAGTGAATCCCTGTGGTCTGCATAGAGCAGTATGATGGACAGCAAAACCATCTAATTTTTCAGACAAAGTAGCCAAACCCCTTCAAAATGACAGAAATACTTTGCATGTCAACAGCCCCATAGATTGCCTCTACTTGCATGACAGAGAAACAAGCAGAGTTGGGACACAGACTTGCCCACAGTTACAGAGTGAGGTTTGCATCAGAACTAGGACTAAACCCATAAATGTTGACATTTGGTCCTGTGCTCAGATCACCTTCTTCCTCATTCAGGCACTGAGTTTTCCTGGCCTTGGGGCCAATTCTGTTTGCTCGATACATTGTGACAGCTTGAGTTCTCATCTTTGTTGCTGCACTTTCCAAGTAATGAAAACAAATCCCCCTTCAGACTCTTTTTTCATTTCAAATTCATCTTCTGCAGGTCCTCATGAATAACCAAACTCCTCCAGGCTCTCAGTTCACCTCAGAGTCTGCTTCCTGGGCTACACTCGTTTTTTCTCTGCAGTCTGTCTGTGTTATAAACTAAACACCACGACTGCTTCCCTCCATCCTTAGGTAGAAACACAGCTTATGAAATGTTTCGGCTTCTCATCTCTGCTCCCCCCTCAGGCCATAATGTGCCACAGCTCAGTAGCAAAGCAAATTGCAAATGCAATTGCATAACAAGTGAAAGAGATGTAGTGGTGAATAATTGCACACACAAATGGTAAGTGCAATAGCTTCAGACTTTTCTGCCACTGGGCCCTTGGGGAGCAGGATGGCAGTGCTGCCAACCCTGAAGATTTAAGCCACAGCATGGGGATTAAAAGCAGAGCAAAGAAGAAAATGTGTTGTCTTTAGCTGCTCAATATCCAAGGGTTCTTCCTGTAGCTCACAGGGCCTTGATAAGATGAGAGGATTGTATAAACAACTAAGAAAGATCCAAGGGTGACAGTGCGTGACCCATCTGCAGAATCCAACCAGGACCACACGTGGAGCTGTCAAGTTCTTTTCTGAAGCACCAGGACAGCAGCTGTCTGCCCACTTCAGTGCTATCTGTAAATGCCAGATAACAAGTAGCAAGCTTTACCCACATCATTATTCACCTCATGCTTGTTCTATCACAGCAATAATCTCCCCTGCCATTAGACCATGGCCACCTTTTTAAGCCTCTCTAGCTAGAAACAGAATCCCGACTCCTGAGGATTTCTACTGCTTACACCAGGGCAAAATATGGCTTTTATGGACCAGCTGCTGCTGAAAGGTACTATCTTAGTCAGTTCTCTGTCCACAGAAAGTTGGTGATTTTTTTTTCTTATACATCTCTCAAAGGAGCCCCTTCAATAGTTTCTCTTCTAGACTCTACTCATTTTAGAAGACCATTAATGCCTCTATTTGACGTCTTCATTGATTGTCTTTCGTCTAATCCAAGCTTTGTCTTTATCCTCATCTTTCCCTGTTGTTGCTGAACTTGATACCAGGGTACTCAACATATGCAGCAGATGCATTTCAGGAACCTGGCTTTACCTATCAAAAAATGTCTTTCATAACTAAGTGTCCTTTCCTTGAGTACAGCTCAATACTGAGCCATTTGTTTTCTGACACCAAAATTGAAGTGTTGCGTCTAGATATCGGATTTCCCTTCACTGCTTTGGTCCTTCCCCACTATGCCCGTCTCAACCAGTTGCAATTCCCAGTGCCTTCAAAAATCACACTCTGCATATTGGCAAGGAAATGTGGGAAGCAAAAGGCAGAAGCATTTGATAAATATTTCTACTCTGGATCTGGAAAGGACCGGTCTGAGGTGTGCACTACATGTGGCACCTATGCCAAACAGGCCCCGTGCACTAGATCTGGGAAACAGGGCCAGTTTATGAGCCCAGTCCAGACCATCTCCACATCCAGTGTGAGGGGCCAGTTCAGCACAGATGCCACATGCAGTGCGTACCCAAGACCAGCCCTGTGAACCATTTACAGCAAGTGCAGGCTGCAGCCCAGCATAGCAAGCAGTACATGGGGCCAGTCTGGGGCATACACTGCATGCAACACCCATGCAGACCAGCCCTGCATGTTGTATCTGGCATGGTCAGTTCATCTGTGGCCCCAGTCCAGACCAACTACAGATCCAGCATGCAGTGCCAGTCCAACACAGGCACCACATTCATCCCCAGAGCATCCCTGCACCATGTGTGGCCACGCCAGATGGGCTTCACACATTGCATCCAGCACAGTGGGGCAGCACCAGCAAATGCTGTATGCAGCAGGCAACACTGCAAAGCAGATGATACAGCTCCACAGGCTAGATCAGACTTGTGGTTTGCATCTCTGACACCCCTACATTAGCTTGATAGCAAGCTTGGGCAAAGCATGGGAAAAAATCTAAGTACTCACAACTGAAGGATGGGAATTTAAAAATGCCAACAAACACTGAGTTTGGAAAACAGGCCTGGACAGAGACTCTCAGTTCCATTTTTATGGAAGGACAAGTTTGTTCGACTTCTTAACTCTTTTACCTCCCACATCTCACAAGCTTGTAAATTTGTGTGATGATGTTTCCCCCTCTCCCCACACACCCCAGTACTGTCTGCATTAACCACCTCCTGATGGGAACTCTTCATTGTCATTCACAGTTACAGGAGATCCTACAGATGCCGGAGTATCAAGAACCATTCTACTAGGTTCTTTACAGATGGCTCAAGTCTATTTGTCTAATGTTAACTATGCTAATTCCCCCTTTACAGTCTCTAAGAACCAACTCTCCTAACTTCAGTCACTTATCTCATTTGTATCCAAGACACTGGAAAAGTCTCAGCCATTTCCAGGCCTGAAGCCTTTGCTGCCCTCCTGCGCTTTGGAATTCTGTCACAAACTTCTACTTTCAATATTATTCTACATATAAAAGAATATGGTGAATCCCAGCCTCAGTTCCAAACACAAATAAGAATTATTAAAATATTATTTGCCCGATCCAACCTATTTCTAAAGCTCAGTCGTTTCAGCACAAAGTTAAGAGATATTGGATGGGATTGAATATTTCTTTTCATCAAAATTAAACTTTGCCAAGCCTGAAAACTGCCATACTGGATCAGATCAAGCTAATACCAGATGCTTCAGAGAAGATGAAAGCACCCTGCAGTAGGCAGCTGCAGCTCTTACCCTCAACTGTAGCAAGATTTAGTTAGCCGTGTTAGCCTGAAGTCAGAAAGAAGGGAAGGCAGGGTTACACTTTAAAGACTAACTCATTCTTTTTAATACACATTATGTCTGGGTGACTCCATGTGCTGTTTGTTAGTTCTGCAGATCCAGTGTTGATTTCTTCCTATTTGCTTTACAGAACACTGATAAGGTGGTTCCTTAATTTCTCAGAGTGAAACACAGCATACCTGAGCAAGTTTCCTACATAGATTGATTGCAGTCCATTTGGCTGAGTGTAGTGCCATCTATGAGTAGAGAGAGGTGGTTAGCCATGTTAGTCTGAAGCCAGGCAGAAACCAGGGAAGGGGGGCAATTTAGGGTAGCTTTACACATGATCTGGGGAGGAGGCACGAGCTCCAAGAGCAAGTCTAATTAAAGTGCCTGCAGTCAAGTATATTCAGCATCCCGCACTTCAAAATGGCAGCAGGGGCACTTTAACTAAAGCTCATTCGACACAAGTACATGAGATGTGGAGGCAGCTGCAGTGCACTAATTAGAATGCTCCAGCCAACTTGATTAATTAAGTCTGCTCCCATGTGCTGTAATTACAGTCTAAGCAGCGTCCCCACACATCTACAGGTACCCTTACAGACTAACTCATTAGCACCCTGCCCTGATTTCACCCCTAACAATTTGGACAGTGACTTAAATCCTGCAAGTACGATATTCTTCATATCCCTGCCAAATTGTTTGTTAGCAAATCAGCATCTCTTTGGGCATTTTTTATAATCCCTGCAAGTGTTCATTCCCTTTCTGAATTTTACTATATTCTTGGTCTCAGTGGTTTTCTGTGGCAATGACTACTGAGATCTTCTTACCATAGAGATCTTCTCCAAATTGTTTTTATTCATTTTTAAATGTGTATTTGCTTATGTGCATGTCTGTAAGAGCATGAATACTAAGTACTCATGAATATTAGTTTGGCATAGAGTGCAAGCTAGAACAGACAACAGTAATACAA